TGCTTAAGTGCCATGGTATCGAACATATGGGATTGGTGTACGTCTGGCGTCAGGCAGGTTGGGGTTTGAAGGATGCGGCAACAGGGTGGTGCCGATCAAGGCACCTGCAAATATAACATCTCAAAAACCGGAATGGCTAAGTCACGTCTAGACTGTCGTCTTCGGTATCACATACCCTCAAGTGAGGAATCATTGACCTAGGCATCAACGCTTACCACATGCACACCCTGAACAGCCCTGCCTGCTCAAGGAAGGTTACAGAACGGGGGTTTCCTACAAAATCTAACCATTGATCCAGTGACTTTGAAGTTCTGCACGATGCACCGAGTTTACAAAACAGATTCGGAGCTTCGTAGGTGAAGCCTCACTGTGAACGGCGAGCAGACGTTATCAGGCTGGTGCTCATCGCATTGGACTTCAACTCACAAATACAGTTTCCCCTCAGGATCCAGAGAGAATTGCCTTCCTGAATTATTTCCCCACACAGTGGGTTTACTCCCAGCACTTCAAATAGTCACAATGGGCATCCATGGTGAGGTCAGGTCGGTGGACTAGAGTTACCCTCGACAATCGAGCATCACCGCGTCGGCGTGTGCTGTTAAGTGTGGTTGACTTTCTGGTGCATTTGCTATCGCTTTGCTGGTTGACGACGCGGACTATGTAACAATCGGTTCCTGGATTGTGGGGGTCGGGTGCTACTGTATCATGCATCTGAGATGCTGGGGAAAAGAACGGAGAAGCAGTGGGCTTAATTAGTGGGAACGGCACGGACGGAGTTCACCGGTCTCTCTTGCTTATCTCCTAAAATTTGGATGTAATGCCTATTAGACAGACGAGAGGATTGCATTGGTGGTTTGGCAGTCGCACACTCAAGGACCTTCCCTGTGCGGGGTAGTGGAAGGCGTCTTATCATCATCCCACCTTTTTTATCTGGCCGCCGGTCCAGGCCCGAGGGTGGCGCGGGCGCGGGCGCTCCCTCAACGGCCGCTCGCTATCAGGACTCTGTCTCTGTTCCTGTCCTGGTGCCGGTAAAGACCTCTAATCTCTAATTTCTCTTCTTACCCAACATACGTGCGACGCTCACCGAGAAGATTCTGGCTCGAGACTGTACACATTCTGCCCGCCAGGATGCATCTCGTACCAAAAGAGGTTTGTGCCCAAGTCAAGCACTCTTACACATCCCTGTCGCCTTGGCAGTCTGGTTGAACCGCAACAGCAGTGTTAACACAGGACATCGTGATTACAGCTAGATAAGCTCGTCATCTCTCAATTAGGCTCCATAGCGCAGCGGCGACTCGCCCGGGGTGTCAAGCTGAACCACTCCGAAGCAACGGTACGAAATCCTCCGTTTATGGCTTCGGTGCCGCTGTTCAGGACCGCGTGCACTAACACTCACACCGAAAGGCATTGATCGCAAGCAACTTGCAAGAGCTCATCCGCAATGGCAACCACACCGTCGCTGACCTCATGGGCCTGGGGGCCACCATGCTGGGCCGCCGGCATGTACTCCCCTCCGTGTGCAGTACCCTCCACGAGATCCAGGTTGAGGGCACATTCCCCTCGGGGACCTACCTCGTGACGGTCCACAACCCCATCGCAACCGACGACGGGGATCTCGCCCGCGCCCTGTACGGCAGCTTCCTTCCCGTGCCCAGCAACGACCTCTTCCCCATGCCCGAGGTCGCCGCCTACGAGCCCAAGCGGGCCCCTGGCGCCGTCATCACCGCCGTCCACAAAGTGAAGCTCAACGCGGCGCGGAAGCGCATCCGCCTCAGGGTGAAGAGCAAGGGTGACCGCCCCGTCCAGGTCGGCTCGCACTACCACTTCATCGAGACGAACCCGCAGCTCGAGTTCGACCGGGAAAAGTCGTACGGCTACCGCCTCGACATTCCTGCCGGCACGTCGGTGCGCTTCGAGCCCGGCGACGTCAAGACGGTGACCCTCGTCGAGATCGGCGGCAACAAGGTCATCCGCGGCGGCAACCGGCTCGCCTCAGGGGGCGTCGAGCTGTGGCGTGCGACGGAGATCGTCGAGAAGCTTCAGTTGGCCGGCTTCGCGCACGCACCGGAGCCCGAGGCCATCATGGACTTCGCCGAAGCATACCACATGGAGCGCGCGGCGTATGCTACCATGTTCGGCCCCACCGTTGATGACCTCGTCCGGCTGGGGAGCACCGACCTGTGGATCAAGGTTGAAAAGGACTTCACCGTGTACGGCGATGAGTGCAAGTTCGGCGGCGGAAAGACGTTGAGAGAGGGCATGGGCCAGGCGACGGGGCGGCCGGATGCAGAGTCCTTGGACATGGTCGTCACCAACGCGCTTGTCGTCGACTGGACGGGAATATACAAGGCGGACATTGGCGTCAAGAACGGTATGATCGTGGGCATTGGAAAGGCGGGCAATCCCGACGTCATGGACGGCGTGACGCCTAACATGATTGTCGGCAGCTGTACGGACGTCGTGGCCGGCGAGGGCAAGATCGTCACGGCAGGCGGTGTCGACACCCATATACACTTCATCTGTCCTCAACAGGTGAACGAGGCCGTCGCGTCGGGCATCACCACGATGCTGGGCGGTGGTACTGGACCCAGGTGAGATCCTTCCTCGTCCTCTCAGTGAGCATATTCACACACTGGCCGTCAACTGACACGCTCCAACTCCGTAGCGCCGGCACGTCCGCAACGACCTGCACCCCCGGCAAGAACTACATGCGCGAGATGCTTCAGGCCTGCGACTCGCTGCCCCTGAACATTGGTATCACCGGCAAGGGCAACGACTCAGCGCCCGAGGCACTGCGCGAGCAGGTTCTCGCCGGCGCCTGCGGACTCAAGCTCCACGAGGACTGGGGTACCACACCCGCGGCCATCGACTCGTGCCTCACCGTGTGCGACGAGCTCGACGTGCAGTGCCTCATCCACACCGACACGCTCAACGAGTCCGGCTTCGTCGAGTCCACCATCAACGCTTTCGCCGGCCGCACCATCCACACCTACCACACCGAGGGCGCCGGGGGCGGCCACGCGCCCGACATCATCTCCGTCGTCGAGCACCCCAACGTGCTCCCCTCGTCCACGAACCCCACGCGCCCCTACACACGCAACACTCTGGATGAGCACCTCGACATGCTCATGGTATGTCATCACCTGTCCAAGAACATCCCCGAGGACGTGGCGTTCGCCGAGTCGCGCATCCGCGCCGAGACCATCGCCGCGGAGGATGTGCTCCACGACCTAGGCGCCATCAGCATGATGTCGTCCGACTCGCAGGCCATGGGCCGCTGTGGCGAGGTTATCCTCCGCACGTGGAACACAGCGCACAAGAACAAGGTGCAGCGCGGGTTCCTGGCCGAGGATGAGGGGACGGGCGCTGACAACTTCCGCGTCAAGCGGTACGTGTCCAAGTACACCATCAACCCCGCCGTCGCGCAGGGCTTCTCGCATCTCGTAGGGAGCATCGAGGTTGGGAAGCTCGCGGACCTGGTCGTTTGGGATCCGGCATGGTTCGGCACGAAGCCGAACTTGGTCATCAAGAGCGGCCTCATCGCGTCGGCACAGATGGTTAGTTCCTTTTTCACCTCTTCCTTCTTCCCTGCCTCTCCCCAAGTCTCGTCGATTGTAATGCTAACAAAACCGCGCCCAGGGTGACCCCAATGCGTCGATTCCCACGGTGCAGCCCGTCATCGCGCGGCCCATGTTTGCGCCCCTCGTCCCCGCGTCGTCGGTGCTGTTCGTCTCGGAGGGCTCCATCAGCTCGGGCGCCATCGCGTCCTACGGCCTCCGGAAACGCATCGAGGCCGTCAAGGGGTGCCGTACCGTCGGCAAGAAGGACATGCGCTTCAACGACAGCATGCCTAAGATGCGTGTCGATCCGGAGAGCTACGTAGTCGAGGCCGACGGCGTCGTGTGTGAGGCAGCGCCGGCCGAGACGTTGCCCTTGACGCAGGCGTTTTACGTGTATTAAGCTGGTACTACGAGAGAGTGGGAGAGTGAGATACAGATCCTCTGGAGATGGCTGGAGCGTCTGGTGAGGAGAAGGAGGAGAGAGGTCTCGAATCGATGCGGAAAGAAGTAGACCTGAAGTAGGAGTTTGTGTGTTTGATGAGGGGAGCATTCCAGAGCGCACGAGCTACATATATGGTAGCTGGGATACCTTCCAACGGGGGGAAGTGTAATTGATGACACATGAGAAGACATGATTCACCCAAAAAGCAACGCAGCAAACATTTCATTACTAAATCGCAAAAAAAAAAAAAAAAAAAAAAAAGGTTGCCCTTAAATGCCTGCTAAACTTTCCGTGGTCTGCCTGCTAGCAAACCCCGGTTCCGTTCACTGCGGAAGTAATATTTTCTGCCTTACAGCTGTTTGTGGGATTCGGTTGACAGACTGCTTGTGGTTGCGGTGCTTTGGCCAAGACGGGGGACCTTCTTGTGTTAGCTCATCGCCGAGATTGCCTTCACTCGAGATCACCAAACTACGCGCATAGGCAAGAATTAAACGTCCTTTCGAGCATGAACCTAAGGTTATGAGAGAAGGCCTGGCCGAGGTCGCTCAGCTTGCGTGCGGTCAATGGCCGCGCGGAGCATCATGCACCGCCTACTCGTACATATCGAGCTGAGGAGCCCGAGTAATGATCGATGTTTTTCAATTCATGTCCATCGTTATACATACAGGATGAAATAAACAGCAATTAAGCCAACCCAGCCCGAAGCCATGGACCCACACCGCCCGCCTCCAGCAGGGCGTTTTGTATTCCTTTCGCACATGTCCGTTGAGCCCCCCCATAAACCACGCCTTGTGAAATCATACACACCGCACGCAAGTGGCGGGGAAGGACCGAAGCAAGTGTGGTCCTTTCCCTTGTTTCCCTAGTCCACAGTGTCTCCTTAGTACACCTGCGCCAATACTCAGGCCAGCCAGGGGGACCGACAACTAGCCGCGCCATGAGGTATCATCTTTGCAAAACAAAAACCAGAAAGAAGATGAGAGCGAAACGTGAAGCAATCAAGCCTTTGCCTTCTTGGCCCTGCTCTTCTTGGTTGGCTCGGCCGGTTCGGCGGCGTCGGCAACCTTTGTTGATGTGCGGCGGCGCTTCTTGTCAGGGCTGGCGGGAGTGCCGGTGGCCTTGGGCTCGGCCTCAGCAGCAGGGGTGGCAGTCTTGCGCTTGCGGGTGGATGCGGGCTTCTTGGGAGTCTTGACGGGGGCGGGAACCTCCTCGTCATCCTCTTCTTCGCCAGGAGCATCAGCAGTGTTGGCCTGGTTCAGCTGCTCGGCAATGGCATCCTCAACATCCGGGACGACATCGACAGGGTTTATCTGGATGTTGTGCTCCTCGGCGTACTTGAGGGCGGCATCGTCGTCCATGAGCCTGGCTTCCGGGTTGCCACCCTGCTTGTAGGCGTGGACACGAGCCTGGTAGAGGCGGAGGTTGTACTGGTAAGCGTTGTTCCAGCCAGCCTTCTCGGCGGGGTTCATGGCCTTCCAGCGACGCTGGCCCTCCTCCTGAACGGCGCCCTTAGGGGCGGCATCGCCGAGGTCAAGAGCAATGATGGGACGGGCAGTCTGCATGTAGAGGAAGTAGGGGGTCAGGGGGCGCTTGGGAGCATTGGGGTCATGAGTGCGCTTCTTGCGCTCCTTCTTCTCCTCGACAGGTGCAGTGTGGTAAGGAGCACCGGGGGCAAGACCCAGGGCGAGGGGAGCCATGTTCTGAGCGACAGCATGGTCAAGGTTGACCAAGGGGTGGTCGATGCCCGGGATGCCTTCATTAGCAGCCTCGCCGAGAAGAAGGCTGGTCTGGCGGTAGTAGTCCTCAGAGAAGTTCTTGATCAACTCCAAGATAGTGATGAGACGTTGGTGGACCTGGAAGAATGTTAGCACGCGGTCTCGCTCAAGGCTCAAGTATATGAATGATGAGCAGTAGATGCAATGCGTGCTTGTAGCTGTCTTAAACTGGACTGGGTTGAAGCTCATATGAACCACGCCTCACGAGCAGGCGCGGCGTCAGGTTGAGCCGCGTAAAAAATAAAAAAATAAAAAAAAAAAAAAAGATGCTCAGTCCATTTGAGTGCAGTGTTTAGAGTTTGTAATGGGATTTATCGCGGTCATGACTGATTGACATTTGCAGGGCCAATGGCTCAATGGTCGTCAAGCATGCGCGCATGCAAGAATGGTGGAAGTATTGGATTGGGAATAACAAAGCGACGCGAGGTTGAGTCGTGATTAGGGCATGAGAGATGGGTGTTCTTACCGAGTCGCGGACACGAATGAAACCCTCGACATCAATGTGTCTCTGGGGGATCTGGAGGGGTTGCACTGGCTGAGCAGGCGCGACGGGGACAGCAGCGACGGGAGGCTTGGGGGCCTCGACGGCCTTCTTCGAGGGACGGGGCATTGTGATGGTGGCTTTTGAAGGTTGCGGTTGATGGCGTAGGAATTTAGTGCCGGCGAGCGCTGTAGAAGACCAAGGTGCTGCGTTGACGCGCGACGATGGAAGAAGCTGGACTGGGTTGGGTTGGGTTGGGTTGAAGGCTTTTTGGGTTTGGGAGGGGGCGGGCGACGGGAGAACGACTGTTGGGTTTTGGGGGGTTTGGTGCCTGAGAAAGCGAAGAAATGGGGGGAAAAAGGGAAAAGGCTGTGAGGTTGGGGGAGGGCCTGAGCCGAATATGTAGTGCAGACCGGGCGGGAGGGGTTTGGGAGTGATTTGACACCTCTCTACCTTTTCTGGGGGGGCCAAGTGGGAAAGGGAAGGGGAGAAAAAAATTCAGGCAGGTGCGAGGTGGCCGCCCCAAAATTTATGGACTGCTCGCCCAGTCACTCACTCTGGTCAGTCAGTTGCGCGCCCAGGACTCCTGTAACAATGTACCTTTTCTTGGGTACCTAGGTAGGTACCACCAGGCCTCACCTTCGCCCGGCTTTGCACTTTCGCTCTCGCTCTCGCTCCCTCTCTATCTTCTCTATCTCTTTCCCCCCCCCTCAGGCCGTCCTGGTGCTTACTCCCCCTCCAGCTGGCTACAAGCTGCCACTACTCAGTCCCCCCGTCCTATTTTCTTTTCTCTTCACTGGGGGCCACCCAATACAAACCTTCGTTCCCAATGTCAATCACATCATACGACACGTAAAATGCGCCCGACACCCCTGCAACCCCTCGCAAAAGAACGCATCCACCTCAGTGCTGCTAATCAGTAAAAATAAAAAAGGTCACCCAAGCGGCAATTGTTGTTGTGACCCTCAGCACCATTCTCTCCTCCCACCCCCCTTGCAAAAACAGCACGCGCTCTGCCAGTACCGGCGACCGCGACTGCGGCCTTTTGCTCCCAGCGCTTCCAGAGGCTTCCCGCTGGACCCTATGCTCCAGGGCCAAACGTCCACTTTTGGACCGAACTGGGCAGCCTCTACGCTATTCACCTGGACCATTGACACTAAATGGAGCACAATGGGCTCATCTCAACACAACGTTCTCCGGAGACACAAACACGCGCCCACACTAAAGAAAATGTCACCCTGGAGCACGTACAGCACACAACGGGGGGGGGACGGGCCCGAAGCTGCAAGCTTTTGCACCTCACCTGTACATGGCGTCTTGCATTACCTCACCGGGGGGGAAGGTGGTACCCCGTATCTTCGCGTCCTCCTCTCGCCTTGTGTGTCTCTTGTCTTTTTGCCGTACTCTGCTATTGTAAGTGTTGTTCTTGGCCGGCGAATACTCGTGCTTCCCCGGAGAAGTCGCACATTTTTTAGTCCATTACTGGGAGCTGGCTATTATTCCAAGCGTGTGCATCCTCTTCTCGTGGCTGTTGCTGATGCTGGGGTGCCCCAAATGCACCCATCGTCGCGCTGGTTGCCATCCTGATGCTCTGGCGATACTTCCGCTGGACTTCCAGCGGGGTGACAACGGCGATGGGATGCTTTTTCTCTCGTATCTGTGCTGGTTTTCTTCAAATGGCGACACCCACATTTTCTGGTGCTGCACCACCACACATCTCATTAGCGGGTATGGCCTTGTTGCCCAATGAGCTCCCTGCAATGGGTAGGCACCTTTTCCTCCCGCCTGAGTGGCTTCCGCTTACCGCGACCTGGGGGGGAAAAAGAGGGAAAAAGAACACGACACACCTGAGCACGAACAACAGCGACCGGGGGATAGGCACTGCACTGCCCCTCTGGCCCCTCTCTCTGCCCCGTTCCTTTTCCCGCGTTGTCCTCCTCGTCAGCTCTTAGCCCATCTTACTGACTGCCCAAGAATTAAAGCAGCAAGGCCTCTGCGAGGTTGGGTGCCTATATCCCCGCCTGTGCCTGCCTGAAACCTGGGACGGACGGGACTCTCGCCCTCATCACTCCACGTCAGCTCGAGCCAGAAAACTTCTCTCCCATCCTCTGCCCCGACAGCGGCCGACAGCGGCCACATTCTGAGGCCCTTCCCCACTGGTCTTCCTGTCGGTCCTTCAACATCCCACCCATTCCAGAGCATCAGGCCCCGTTATCGCAGCCAGAGCAGCTCGACCTCTCTCGAAGCTGGCTGGGCTGGTCTGGTAAGGCCGCCTGTTGCCGATCCCCTCTCTCTCTTCTACAATACTGGAAACTGGAGCGGCGCTCTGCCCTCCCGTTCATCGAAAAGCGCGGGTACCTTCGGTCAAGCAAGTTCGTGCCAGGCCCGTCTGTCAATCAATCCCTGAGGCCTGCTGACAGCTTGTTCACGACTGTCAAGGCCACCCACTTCGGCGGGCTCTGGGCTCACGGTGGACGATGGCTTGGTGGAATGCGGTGGTAGGGTTCGCCCAGAGGCCGCCCAGGAACTTGTCGCTCTTAGTGCTTGCTCAGCTCTGCCCAGAAAACAACCTCGAGCTGCGAGCGGCCCCGAGTGTCGCCATTCCCATCCCCAATGGCGCTGCCCAGCCCAACTACTGATGCCAGTTTACGCAAAAGCTCTACTGGCCTTCTGTACCCCCCCAGTACTCAATCATCAACCGCAGCAATTGGTGACATCCTTCAAAAGCGATCGTTCCATTCCCCTTACCCGCGACAGGATGTTCCTCCCTCTAGCCCTGAGTCCAGCGCTTTCGTTCCATCCGACGGTCGCCAGCCTTCGTAACTCCGAGGTTTGCCTTGAGGACCCCCTCCTATCCCAGCGTCCCAGTGATCCGTCGTCAGCTATGGCACTCCCCGCCATCAGTATCATACTGCCATTGCCGATGCTGTCACCTACCGTCTTCCGGGATGCATCGCACAGCACTCTAGAAACCGAGACCCCTTGTTGGGGCCTCTGAAAATACCAGTGAGCCAGCACACAGGCCGTCGATGTCGGATTCCCCCGTTCGCGTTGCCCCATGATGATAGTTCGCTGAGGACCGACTGCTACCTGCACAACGAGTGCCCTGCTCCGAACGGCGACGACCGCCAGCCATGGTCAAGTAACAGAATGACATGTGCCCCGAGGACGCTTATCCCTCGCTCCCCGCCGCCGCCTTGACAACTGCTTGATGTTTTGCACCGCAATTTCATTCGCCGCAGCCGCCTACACTGGTTACGAGGCCGTGACTTGGCCGGGCCAATATGCTACTGTGAACGCTGCTGGCATTGTTCACCTTGGGGGGTATCACCCATCACTTCTCCGCTTCTAGTGCTTGTCGGATCCCGAGGGCACTTGTAGGTATGATGACCGATGCTTGCGATCAGGGTGTCTAAACCCCAGTGATTCCTGTGCGACGGTCGAGGGCTTCTACGATATCTCGGCTGCTCTCGTTCATCCATTTCATCAGAGCCAAGAGACGGTCGGAATGCCCGGTTCCTCAACCGTGAGAAGGCCACGAGAATGACAACCCAAGTCGCCCTCGTACAACGAATGTCGGGATGCACTCTACGATACCCTTGGGGACTGTCCACATCATGACAAGCAGGGTTACATACTCACTCACGCCTAGAAGGAACTCGTCCTGGTGCAGCTCCATTGGCGCTGGTCCTTGTCCGGTCCGTGGCACACGATGGAGCAGAGAGCTCTGATGGGCAGATGCCAGACACGACTCCGTACGACTGGATCCGGGTTTGAACCGAATGGCTTCACGTAACCAGGACAGGAGACGAGAAAGCTGAACGTGCATCGCCTATTGCCGTGTAGGTACACTCACCACCTCTGGGCACCAGAGGAATTATTGGTGTGCAACGTCGACCGTCGCCCAACGCGTTACTCGCTTAATCACAACAACGCAAGATTGTGACGCGACTGTGTAGGTAGCAGTCACAACGCCCCCCTCCTAGTGTACAACGGCAATGTCTCACCTCGTTTCCATCCCAGGGCGACTTAACAAGCGGCCATTGAGAGCTGGGGGAGAAGGAGTTTCAACTTTTTGGCAAATTTACTTCGGTCGGCCATGTTAGAACAGAATGCTCAGCGTGCAATCACCATGCGATATCCGTACAATACTGATGAAAATACCAATGAGGTTACACAACTTGAATGCTTGCTTGCTTGCTTCACTTCGTGTGTACGCGCAATCGCCGAAGAGAGGTGGTCCGCTCTGCATTGAAAGCTATCCCTCCATGCTGTCCCACATCAAGAGCTGAGCTCTGCTTTGCCCCTCGCTGCCCCTCACTGCTCCTCACGGTCACCAGTCATCTCCCGCGACAGAGAGGGGCCCCCGGAAGCTGGCCTGACCGCCAACCGTCTCATCCCGTTTTGAAACGAGAACCCCATCAAAACTCGGCAGAGGGGGGAAGGTCCGCATAGCTGGTGGCAGCTCATTGGCGGCGGATCGGTTCCGCTACCCTCCATGGTGCACTCACTACCTAGGTAGTTATCTACATCGTACACTACCTACGTAACTATCCGATGGGGGAACTGTCACCCACGGGCGACCACCTTGTAAGTATGCGTGCCTTGGTAACTATTCGATGGAATAGAAGGCATTGCCAGTTTCTTCAATGCCTGTTTTTCCCCCCCTCCAAAGAGGTCGGAAGACGCCTCGGTCTTTCCGAACGCTGGTCAGCGCGTTGCTTAGCTCTTGACCGCGGTCACTCATCCGCAGCTTGATTGACATGCCATCGTGTTCACGTCTGTATTACGAGAGGAAAAAAAAGAACAAAAAAAAAAAAAGGTAAGATTGGTGAAAGGCAGTATGAGACGGATTCTTCTTGAGAGCTGACCCGAGGCAGACGCTTGCCCACTTCACTCAATGTGTTCTCCTTCCATAGCTCGCAAGACCGAATGTTGGTGAGAAGTGCGTCATTGCACATTTCGTCTCGCACATTTGAAGTCCGCCGCCACTCACTTCATCCCATCAAGCCCAACATCAGACATCCTACCAAATGAGCTACCGGGGCGCAGCAGTATCACGTCCCTCCTCGTACAGGGCACTCTCGTCTCTACTTCTCTTCAGCCTGGTCAAGGTCGCGAGTCCTAGGCGCGCCCGCCGGGCGGTTAACTAGCAGCTGCCAGCAGCAGCACCCCGACCTGAAAGTACCGACGATCAAACTACCTTACCTAGCTTACCGGATCAAATCCACACAGCTTGTGCATTGAGCTTGATGCAGACCCCTGCCCCATCCAATTTTGCGCCTCACGTCACCAATACTTGGTTCCAGTATGTGTTCCCCACCCGTTTCTGAGGTACCCCCGACCCTTTAGTCAACTAGCGGCGCTACTGGGCTACTAGCAGCCATCTTAATTCAAGCTCCAAGTCGGCATTGCTGGCCACTGGCATTGGTGGGGGGAGCGCCTTGGCGGCAGCTATCGCGCAGCAGTATGATGCCATGGCACCTGGGGGATTGGAACACAGACCACCGCAGAAAACATTGCGAACAGGAAATGGGACAAGGTGGGGTGAGAAGGAGGGGGGCAGCAAGCAAAAGCAACAGATCACGGATTGGACTGGCGTGGCCGGGACTACACGTAGATGGATGCTGTGGCCACGGGTGGGCAGTGCGTCCTTGGTTGTCGGGCCATCCTATTCATTCGAGCTGCCTCGCGTTCCTGGCGTCTGATGGCTCCAAGTGCTGGTGTGTATGTGTGTGTGTGTGTGTGTGTCCATTCCGTGCTCCCAAGAAGACAGTGACACGCCGTCCCCGTTGCCCCTCCACCGCTTCCAACCCTGATCATAGCCCCTCCTTTTCCTCTGCGGCCCCCTTGCTTGTGTCATATCCTGTCCTTATTTTATGACCTCCTTCCCTCCCGCCATCGTATCTTTCCTTTCTTTCCACGCGAACTAAACTGTTAGCAAACTGCCTTGAAGGTTTCGCGACGAACAAATAATCACATCTGAACACTACCAAGAGCAAGAGGCCACGAAGTACAAACCAACATGCTCGACGCCAGGTCCTACCCGCTGCTGGTCGGCCTGCTTGTGCTGGTCTGCCTTGCCCAGCCAACCTATGCCTTCGGAGCTGGCAACATTGCCAGCATCTCCAAGATCGAGGGCCAGAACTGTGAGCTTACCCCCTCGGCCAATGTCTGTCATTCGCACCACGTCAGCTAACCGGCCGGTCGCGCAGGGCGCCACGGTGACATCGAGGATGCTCTCCTCACTCTCGCCATGGCACGCGCCATGAACGGCAAAAAGTTCTCCAAGATGATGGTCTCCCGTGTCTACTTTGGCAACTGGCTGAGAGACTACTCCCAGGCCATCGATGTCGGCACTGTCAAGTCCGTCTCCGCCGAGGCCATCCGTCTGCTCCTCTGTGTCCTGGGTTTCCTGACCTTCGGCTTTGGCTCCAAGGAGTTCGAGGTTACGGCCGATCGCCTGGGCTGCTACCGCCCCGAGGACCACATCGACAACCCCAAGAACTACGCCGACAACCAAGATGCGCGCCAGTACGACCGTCGTCTGAGAGGGCCCGTCGATGAGGGTGTCGAGCTCGCCATCGACCCCGAGACCGGCATGAAGAACTACATCGCCAACGAGCAGGCAGGCATCATGACTTCTGCTGCCCACGTCCGGAACCTGTTTTCCCGCTGCATTGAACTTGCTCGAGGATACTCCCGAAACAAGAACCAGGCTGATCTCTACGAGGCGATGCGTCTCATGGGTACCGGTCTGCACTGCTTGGAGGGTACGTCAATGACATGACCATGCAAAGACTCACCACCGCCTTTGGCTCAATGAACTCGAACTGTTTCTAACGCCGTGGCTTGCAGACTTCTTCGCTCACAGCAACTACTGCGAGCTTGCCCTCATCGAGATGGGCGAGCGTGACGTGTTTCCCCACGTCGGTCGTGACACTCGGATCAGACTTAACGGAGCCAGA